ACAGGTAATTTTTATATTGTTAATTTAATCATATAAATCGATAATTAATTGAATTTTATAACATAATAGTTATATATGAATGCGCATCTAAAAAAATCGATTTTGATTACAATTTAAGAAAGATGTTGATTGAAAATAATTATCAATTGCCATGGATTCCTTATGACGAATTTAAGAATATTATAGAAATAGGAAAAGGTGGATTTGCGACTGTATATCGTGGGAATTGGATTGATAAAAGTAGAAATTTTCAAGATACCTTTGCTCTTAAAATGCTTAATTTAAATGATCATTCAGAATTCATAAAAGAACTAAAAATATTTTGTGAAATTAGAGATGTGTACCCTTCATTTTTGAAATGTTATGGAATAACGAAAGATGTTAATGGAAAATATACTTTTGTTTTAGAATATGCGAGAAAACAATCTTTAAGTAAAAATCTTTACGAAGTTGCACGAATGACTTGGAAAAATAAAGTGAAATTGTTACAGTGTATAATTTCGGATATTAATATGATTCACTTTCAAGGATACGTTCATAGAGATTTACATAGTGGTAATATTTTACAACAAGATATAGATAACGCGTATGTTGCAGATTTAGGATTTTCTTCATCTATTAAAAGTGTGACTGAAGGGATTTATGGTGTTTTACCTTATGTCGCGCCAGAAGTATTATCTCGCCAATCACCGTTTACACAAGCATCTGATATTTATTCGTTTGGAATAATCATGACAGAGATATCTGTTGGGCAAAGCCCTTTCTATGGCGTTCCGTTTGATGAAGTACTTGCTACATGGATTTGCTTGGGATTGAGACCGGAATTCGCACCTGGAACTCCTAATTGCTATGTTGAATTAGCAATGCAATGCATGGATTCTGATCCACTGAAACGACCTACTGCCTCGGCTATTACTGATAAACTTAATAAATGGTTTGACTCCATCTGCATTCCTTCAAATGCACAAGATGCTGAGATCAGAGCAATTAAAAAACAATTTATAGATGCCAATGAGATGATCAAGGACTTACCGAACGTCGGACAAAAACATTCGGACCACATGTATACTTCAAAGCTCATCAACACGCGCGAAATTACAGAAAAACTTTCAAAAATCGTTGTTGGTAGCCAACCATTAGATAGCATTGAAATCCCTTGATCTTTTTTCATTAATTAATGCGATACGCTAAATAATTAGAACATTAGAATTAGAATTGAAATTAGATTTACTTTCATATGATAAAACCCGATTAAACCGGTTCTAAACTCTTGTAAATGTTGATTTCATAGAGTTATGGGACGGTAAAATCATTTTTCTTAAGAGATTTTTTTTTAAAAAAAAAATATATTGAATTTGTTCTTTTAAGTAACAATTTATTATATTTTAATAAAGATTTCGAATTTAAATTTAAAGACAACTAATATTTTTTGGTGAAAAGAGTATCTCGTTCTATTTTAAAAATCATTTATGCAAACCTCTGCATCTGCAATTCAACTAACCTTTAAATAAAAATAACATTTATTATTAATTTCATTAAAACTAAAATTAGTCTATAAAATTGTTTTATTGATTTTTTTCAAATATTTTAAAAAGTTTTTTGTACAGTATTCATATAAAGTTAATAAGGTTTAATTTATTAACTTTTTAAGAAAGTATTTTCAAAAAAAAATTTATTTTAGTAAATTCTTAATTTAATTTTTTTTTTGTTTTTTAAATAAAAATATTATAACATTTTAACATTTATTATATCATATTTTTATAGATTTTTAATTAGAGAAATTTCTATTTTAATCCAGGGAGTTTAGAATAGTTAAAATAAATCTACCGTGACAAAATAGAATTTTCCAAAATATAAATAAATATTTTTTTGAGCAATTATTAGTTGGCAGATACGCATATTATTTAAGACTTATTTTAGTATTTTTATTGAGATTGAATAGCCAAAACATTCATGTAAGCTCATGTAAATGCTTATATATCTAGATAATTTACTAAGTTTTCTAGATATTGATCAACCTTGTATTTGGTCAAATCTAATTTTTTAACATTAGTCAGTTTTTTTCATATGTACATTATTAAATTAGTTTGCTATAAAAGTAGTTTTGCTATTATTATAAAAGCCTATATCTGCACAATTTTTTATATATTAAAAGTTATTTAATTAATTTGGTTATATTTTTGTTAAGACTATATTGAATTTTTTTAAATCTGTAACTTTTTAATAAAATATAGTTATTAAGTGCATATCTTGTAATTTTCTGTGCTTTATTGTTTTACTTTGCATCACTTCATCACACTCATTATAACAAACAGCATTTTTACATTGCATTTTAGTAATTCTTGATTATTATTTATTATTAATGTTATCTAATATGTATTTAGATAATGATCAAGTTTTTTTCAATTTTTTAGTGATTTTCAATTAATCTGTCTGGTGAAAAATTTGACAAAAAAAAGCAAAGGTAATATATATTATTCAGGAGAGTGAGAATAAGCATTAAGTAGCACTCAGAATATTAATATTTAATATGTAGAATAATATTATGAGTAATAGACAAAATTTGCACATTTATATCTATAACAATTTTTAGATATATTGTCATATATATCTAATGTTGTTTAATATTGTGATAACTGGAAAATGGTAGCTCAGTTGCTTCACAATTTAGAAACTTGCATAACCTGTAGTTAGTAACCTAACGAAAGAGATGTGTTATATTTGGCTGGTGGGTAAATAGGGCTTTGGCTACTTCATTCGGTAATACTAAGTCATGTGACAGATAGCTTAATAAATGATACTTTTCTACTTTAAAGTTTAGAGAGAATATATAAGTATGATAGTACTCTTATGTAATATTATAAGCAATATATTTAATAAACTTGGAACTTAGTTGTTAGTAAAGCAAATGAGAAACTAATGTCTCTTGAGAGTGGTAATGCCTTTATTTATAATAAACATTTACTTAGTACTTATTAAAATCATTCTATCTTGTATATATATTATCTCTAATAAAATAATTAAACTGATTATAATGAATAAAATTATCATATCCCTCATAACTATTATATTAGTTATAACTGATTTATTTATTATCTTGAATTTATCTAATTTCTTCAATATATTTGATATATCTATTTTAGGTAAGATATCATTCAATCAAGGTAATTTGTATTGGTGCAGCAGCTTTCAAGTCATGATTTCCAGGCTTCACAATATTCAAATTGCTCATTACTCTGTTATAAAATAAACTAATTGGTTATCAAAAATATTCTGTACTAACTAGAGATGAACAAGATAATAAAATAAGTATTACTTATTTTTTATTCCCTATATATTTTATATATTAACTGATTATTGCTTATTGTATACAATTGATTAACATTTATTCTATTCACAAATGCAATCAAAATGATTTAATTTTAAAATCTAATCATACTCATGTTTGAAAATATATATTATTAATAATAGCCTATCTCTAGTACTAATGTATAGAGATGTAGAACCTTAGAATTTAAAAGAATATAATAAATCTCAAAAATATATATTTATATTTAAAGTTTCAAAGCCCAAATCATTTATTTGTACTACCCAATTCAATTGCATTATTTAAATATAAATACTACTCTATTAAACAACAAATTTCTATCTAACAGTATGTTTTCCTAAATTAATAATATAATAAATTCATAATCCTACTACAAATATTGAATACTAACAAACTCTTAACAATAATATTGAATTTTAATTTGACAACTCTAAGCAAATATTTTTTCATCAACCTAAAACTTAATAAAGATTCATTTAACACAATTCAAAAAAAAAAACTTTTAAAATATTTTTATTCCTCTAATGCAAGAATTTTGGTCTATATAAAATCAGATAACTTTATTGAGTTTAGATTCATATAAATAGCCATAACAAATAAGCATGAGTTGTTATATATAACCTGTATAATAATAATATTCAATCAATAAGATAATATTTAAAACATTAAAATTATATTATATAAAATTAATGTTTAATACTAGCCAACTAAAAATAAGTATTTGTACTAATTACAAAATGCTTATACACTTCTGATTAATAAGTTTTATAAATGAAAATAACAAACAACTATTAATTTTAAATTACTACAAAGTCACTAGTAGTGTTTAACACCAGTATAATTTCTTGCTAAATTTTAAGATTAGAATATAGTTTGGGATATATAGAAGGGCTATATATGCATAATAGTTCAAAATTTAGATTAGATAATGCTTTAGTAGTTCTGGACATTTTACTTAGTATTCCCAACTCTAATTACATAATAGGTTTTTGAGATATATCAATGCTGGTGATAATTATCAGTGGTGATAAATAGTAAACTTCTTTAAATTATTTATTTTAAAATTTTCCCTTAAACCATTTGTAATTTGGACCTAAATTTGGGTCCAAATTTTCTGATGCACACTTATATTACAACTGTGACAAAATACTAGCAAACATAATACAAACCTTCATATTACAGTAAAAAAATAGTATTTATTTTATTATTTATATTTATGATACTCAACAAAACAATCTGAACATTGCTTATTTAAACATAAAGGCACATTACATGTTGTGCACCACACCTGACTTTTTGGTGATTTTTTAGTGTGTTTTCCTTACTCAACTGTATTTTTAAACCAGCACCAAATACAGAAACTATACTGTTCATGATATGTTGGGTAGTGACTTTATGGGTATAATTGTTCAACAAATAACTCAAATTTTTTTGTAATATAAAATAGTCATTGTTGATCATTTTGATCATTTTGTAATTTTAATTAAAACATTTTTTTTTTGTCCATGTATTTAATTGTTGGCTTGTTTAAATCATTTCGAGTGATTTTTCTACCAAATTCCATGCCAAATTTATTCTAAAATCTTTATATACTGTTATCAAATTAAGGTTTTTTGAAATTAAGAAGGTATTAACACTACTTGTATCCAAGAGCTAAAAAAAATAATGGCATCTAAGTGTGATGTACAGGAACTTGTGTTGCATAATAACCCCTTAATTGATCAGCTATATCATCACTACCCATATGATAGTTGTAATTATCTTTTACAGCAGATATTGGAAGAACTTTCTTACTTGCATTACCAAATACACTACGTACTTTTATAGCATTTGTACTAGTTGTTTGTGGCCTTCTTCTTTCTCATTTTACTTGATATTCCTTATCTAAAATTTTGTGTACAGTTGTTAACATAGTCACTAGACTGCTGTCTATTCAAAGCACAGCTAAAACATTATCTACAACTACTCCAGAAAGGGTATTTTACTCTAATTTTTGTGATTTTTTTAGTTATAAACAAGTAGGAAATTTTGAAGTGTTAGTTCTTCTGTTTTACACCCACATATCCATTTTTTCTCATATAACTAAATAGTTACTACTTGTAAAAAAATTATCTATATAAATATCAAATGGTTTGCCTTTTGGAAGTTGAGAAATCAAGTGATAAACCTGCCAACCAATTTTATTAACATTTGGAATTGAATTAATTTCAGAATTAAATTCAATAGATTCAATACGGGAAGTAAAAAAAAAACAATAAGTATATCCTGAATTACATAGTGATAGTATTTTGTATCCTTCTGGTGTGGATTTGTTTTTAATTCACACTGTATAACTATTTCTTTCTCTAAATATAGAAACCATTTTATCAATTAAAGCTCACGATTTTGGTAAGTATATTGATTTAGAAACTTTCTGAATATACATTACCAAGGGTTCAATTTTTGATTACCATAGTTACTATGATATTTTTATTTCAATTTTTGTGATATAAAAGTATCGTTTTATTTGTTATTTTTAAAAAAAAATTAATAAAATAAAACCAAATTTGAATAAAATTAAAAAAAATAACTTAACTTGCTCTAAAGTTATATATTTAGTAATTTTATGTTGTGGGTATTTCTAATCCATTTTTCAGTAATCTTCCCAACTTGGTAACTTAAAAACACCTATATAAATTATTAGGGCAAACCATATTAATAATTCTTCAATTGTTAAAGAGTACTATTTATGCCCTTTACTAGCTGATTTTGCTATTGCATAATAATTTG